CCGAATTACGCTTGGCCGTTTACGCCGTAAACATCGTTGAAATATTCATCGAGCAGCAGTTTGCCACTCTCGTTGCTGGCGATAAGCGGCACCAGCTGCGCCGTAAAACTAACGGGGAATCGGTTACAATAAACATCCGTTTTAAACGGCCGCTATCTCGGAGAGCTCGCGGTGCCCCGAACGGAGTCAACGGGAGCCGCGCGAAAACTGCGTCGTCGTCCCCAGGGAGAGAGCATAACCGGTGGTGGCCTCCCTCTGCTCGAAGATTACTTAAAAATCGGTGCCATAAATTCGTCGCGATAAACTCGACGCAGCAAGCCCGGAGCGGATCGAACCGAGAGAGAATCTACGTTGTAAGAAATTGCATTTTTCAGATGCGAGATATTCACCTAACGGCTAATTGAGTCGAACGTTTTATTAGCTGACTTCCTCAAATCGAATCTATACAGGCTGTTTGCGAAATCGTTGTACAAGAGGGATGATTCCTCACGTAAAATCTAGTCAAAAACAAGGAATATAGTTTTTTCATACGTGGCGTCATTTTCCATCCGTCGGCCATTTTGGATTTCTAACCAATCACGCTTCATATTAAAACAGAGCGAATTTTAAAATCGTAAAGATATCAGAAATTAAGTTCTCGGAATGTATATGCGTGTTAGGTCATTGTACTTCCAATATGGCCGACGAATGGAAGGCGCAGAACACACCTTATGTTTTTACATCATGGAGGAATCATCCCCTTTCGCGAACGCCCTGTATAATCGAAGACGTTAAATTTTCGACTAGTTTCAAGTTAATTTAATCAATATATGTAGATTGAAATAAAATGACGGTACGTAGGGGAATGTTTGAAATTAGAGAATCGCGAGGAGCTCGGGCGGACGTCACACTGGCGAAGTAGTAAGTAGAAAAGTTTCCAGCGAGCATGAAAATCTAATTAAAAAAGTTCCCTTCGGTCCCCATAGAATTTATATTAAGAAGCAAGCATTGTCCTCACGGAGGAGACGTGGTATATATATCTCAGAGATAGCTTCTTTCTTGCTATTTCGAACCGTCGAATAAGTTTTAATTAGGTCAAACCTATTTGTCTCCGTAATGGCACGGCGTAACACCGCGTAGATAGTATAAAGCTGCTCTAATTAACATGTTTACCACGATTTTCCTTATCCGCGAAGGAGAACTGGTTCACGCTTCGGCGAATCAAATTGCAACATAATTGCCTTTTAAACGATATGAAAATCATTCCCTGTCTTATTACAAATTTCTTAACCAGAAATATCGCCCTGATTCAGTTTGTATTTCTGACACGCCGCAGATCAGTGAAATAGAAAAATCCCTATGATTCCTCGACGTTCCCTTTGATTGACTATCCCGGAGAAACACGAAAACCGTATAAATGATTTCCGTGTGCTTAGCTGAACGCTAAGCGTCAGCAGTTAATTGCGCGGAACGGAAGTTGCCGAAGAGATCAAAGGCGAGAGGGCGTAAAGCGTTTCCACCCCCCCGAAATCGTTCGCGTCTTCTTCTCTGTCTCTCGAAATTTAATACTCTCGCCTCAGACACCGGTTAACCCCAGCGTGCAAGATTTCCCCACGGTCGCCGATACATTTTTTAATAGCTGGAATCTTCGCCCGAAAGAGGCCGCGCGCGTAGCCGAAACGCGCGGACGCCTGCGCCCTCTGGTCTCACCTCTGAAGCGAGCCACCGCTGCCGCGGGTTTCGACGGGTCGCGGGTGCTCCTTTCAACGAATTTGCACGGCGTATTTGCGCTCATTCGCGGAGCTATTTGACTTTCGCGTTTGCACACAGATAATTATAATCGAAGCTCGACGGTCCGTGGCCGCCACCCAGAGGCGGCTTTAATTAATCACGATGAATAACGACGGGGCCATGCGAAACTTCGTTAACTTGCAAATTTTCCCCGGCTCCTCCAGCATGAATTCTCCCTCCTCTCTCTCTCTCTCTTATTCGTAACCTGCCCTCCCTCCCTCCCTCCTCCTATCTCGTCGCTTTGATTTTCCGTCTGCGATTTTGCAGTTTCTTCGAGTGCGCTAATGAACGCCAATGCAGAGATCATACGTACGGCTAATTACCGCGACTGGACACAACGCGAGAGAACCTGTTTGTCACAATTTCCGTTAGAACCATAGTTTCCTTTATGGGCCCGCGACCCGCGTGATATTAAGCGATCAAAAAGTTGCTGTTATTCATTAACTCGCGTCATTAGGATCGCCGTGTTTATATCAGACGTCCAGTTGATGCGTTTCTTTATAACAGTCATTATCGTTAATTACTGCTTATTACCGTGCATAGATTCTAAACCGCAGGCTACGCAGTACGTCTTAACCTTCATTCATATTATTTCCCGAGTTTAATTTGTCCCGCGTCGGCCGGATTGACGCGTGGAACGGATGAGGATTAATGCACCCCGAGGGGTTGTACAGTGTCGTCTAATTTGTACCAGAAATTTGTCGGATCAATTAGACGGTGATCGAGGAACTTAATTTCAACACGGTGTTCGAAATAAAACGAGACGAATTTAACAGTAGTTGTTATCAAGTCTAAATAATGAAATTCCCGATTCAATCCGATGATCGGTTGTCCAACGCCGGATAGATCGCAATCGAAAGAGGAGGCTTCGTAATTGTGATTAATTGGAAGAAACCTGTGTAGTGATTTCCTAGAAATTCAGCGTACTGGAACGATACTCGGCGGATTCGTAGCCAACTAATCCTACGATCATCGCCAGAGTTACTTCTCCGCGCGCCGTGCCGTTTCGAATCGTCCGAGACAGAGACTACGGTTCTCGCGCCGCGTCGAGATTGCGGAACAAATCGGCGGGAATTCAGCTATGGCGATCGTGATTAACCTTTACGCCACCGGGGCTAACTACAGCTGACTGTCATTAAGAGTCGGCCCGTAGTTATGGCAATTTCAATCATCCATACTTTTTCGCTCGTTTTGTTTTTTTAATATATCTTTTAGAGAGATCGATTTCAAACTAGGCATCGATAAGATTTCCAAACGTCTCTGACGATATCGCACGTGCAATGGAGTTTCGAAAGACGCGCAGCGACGGTGAGAAATCGGAGAGGATTTAGCCAAGATAATGATGATTAATCGCGAGTGATTCGAGAGGACCGCGACCCGAGATATCGCATTCCTAGAACGGGAACCACGAGAGCGATAACGATCCGCTCGCCGATTCCCGATCATTTTTCCGACGATCGTCTCGTCGGCCATTACACGTAATTTCCTATTTCGCAACGCGTTTTTCAGGCCCGCCGCGCGGCAGAGAGCCAATTACATGGCTCGCATTACACGCGTTTGATTTACTGCCGCGCGACCGAATAATCGCGATTAATCCGACAGAGCCGCGACGATCGAGTAAACTCGCTGAGAACCGGGCGAGTTCCCGTCTGTCCGTCCGCCCCCTCCTGGGTAACCGTCGAGTTTCGGTTGCCGTCGAAGTTCCGCGAGAGACGGTCCACGGGACTCCATTAGCCTCGTTAAGCGTTAACGCTTCGCGAACAACGATATTCCGTAATGGCTACCCGGGGCCCGGGCTAATGGAACGCGGGTAGAAAGCAGATTTCGCTGTAGTCCCGATTCTGTCCTTCGTATTAATATCTATTGTGATTACTTTCGCTGGTGCGAAGCGCGCGCGCGAGCCCGATTCGAGATTAATTATTGCCCCGAAAGAGGGCGAGAGGGCCGACAGCTACGGTATGTAATGGCTTCGTCGCGGAACCGGCTCGCGGGAGAATGCTGATTTTATTGCTTCGCTGCCTCCATTCTGACCCCTCGGCCGGCTTCTGCTTTTGCGAGGATTCGCTTGTCGAGTTATACGAAAGTTCCGCCCGCTACCGGCGCGTTAAAGAGGAAAATGTATGGTTTGCAGTTCTGAATTGAAGCTCCTAACAACAGAAGTGACACGATCCGGCGTTTGAGTGGCTCAAAACCGTCGATTTTTAGTCGAATTAAATGTTCGTTATATTTTATTTATGTAATTGAAATTATCATTTTTATTAAAAAGCGTTTTAGAGATGATTTATAATACTTGTTTGAGAGATTCAATAGCATTGAGCTTGATAATGACAATTTATCAATGATGGAAAAGCAAAACCAAACCTAACCTACGTAAGCGTATCCCTACTAATGGACTTTGTCATACGCAACTGAGAAAAACCATGTAAACATTGACAACGATACAAAAGCATCTACACAATTCGGTTTACAATAAGAGTGCTAGTTTATTAGACTGCGTAACTCATTTTTTTTCGTCTGATTAAATTATCGCTGATCTATGGCAAAATATTCCAATCGGGAGTATATTGCTTGCTTTGGGAGCTTGCAATGCTAATGCCAGTACAGCAAATAGACTCTACGCTGATCGATTTCCAAATCTTCGTCATCCCGATCGGAGAGTCATACAAAGAGTGGAGCAAACAAAGCATTTCTGTCATGCATTTTATCTTCAATGTTCATTGGTGATCAGAAAGAAATCCTGGTGTTTATCGCGAAACCTACATTATTTATATAGTTGGAATAATTCTTTTCATTGCGCGTTAAACGCTAGAGAATGAAAGCGCGGGAAACGCTCCCACTTGAGTTGTAGATGGCGCTGATACATTACAGCCTCGTTTATTATATTTTAATATTCTTCTTTATATCATTAGAATATTCCTAATATAATTCTTTTTATTGAAAAGAGTTATAGAGAAAATTTCAAATACTTCAGGCTCGTAGGAAAAAAAATAGCACAGGGATGTAGAGAATCGACGGGCGTGTCGTACGGGGCGAAAGGTGAAAGAGCGTTAAAAATAGCCGAACCGGTCGAGTGTCATTATGTAAGGAATTAGATTGTGGAAAATATGCAGCAAGCAGATAACGAACGATACAAGGTTAACCTAATGAAACGACCGGGCCTGGGCCGGTGTAACGTTCGAGCGCCTCTTGCCCCTCTTCGATCGACGAGATAAAGAGTATCGTGCACTGACCTTCTTCAGGTGACCCGTGTTCGTGCCCACGAAGACGACCGTATAGTCGCCGGTCGAAGTGGCTACAACCGCTGTCAGATGTGTGTCGAACGTGAGCACCGGTGTTCCCTCCATCGGATCCTCGCCTCCGAGGGGTGTGTTCACGTCCAGACCGCAAAAGTCCTCGCCGATCATTTGCAACTTCTGTAATCAGGAAAACAAACTTGGGATTAGTTTCGAGTCTTCACGATCACAATTCTATTAAATTGTTGTATCACTAACTTAATAGTATATTAT